GTAAGCGACTCCCTGTGCTTGGTATATAGAGGGGAAGCCGCTGGAGCCTCAGCTGGAAGATCAGTTATTGCAATACGTAGTGCAGACCACTAGAGTGATTTTCAACACCCCCAGCAGTCCATATCAGATATGGATACTTATATCGAGCCAAACTGGACCAATGTAAGTTGACTAAAGCTAGTGCTGGGCTTTCTTATGAGACACTGAACACATCAAAGCAGGGGACTACCCTTTAATAATAGTGTATCTGTAAAATAACCTATTATGCAAATAATAACAAAACATTTAAAATATTGGTTATGCTGGTGCCAGGATCCAATGGTGCATGCTTTAGATACTGGACCTACTGTATAGAGTATCTCGGTTGAGGCTCCTGACACAGAATGCAGTGCATATGAAGCAGAATAGGGTGTCATGGGACCAGGGGTGCCCTCTTACCTGGGGTCCGGCAGGCACGGTGGAGATTGTAGGGTCCTTCTTGGGGTGATTTGGTGCCCGGCGGCGGCTGGTTGCGGATACGCGCGTATGTGTGTGTGATGTGCGCGCACGTGACGTTGCGTGGCCTATTAGTCACCTCGGGTGCTGATCAATGCCGGGGAGGGCCTTTTGAGCACACCTTCCCTCCTAGCCATCCCATTGGTTCTCAGGGACCTGTAGCTTCCTCGTTGCCCAGACAATGGGGGCGTTTCTGGTTCCTGCTGGGTTTAAATTCCAGCCAGAGCCAAGTCTTGCTGCTCAGTTATTCTGCAATACCAAGAGCAGCTACGAAGCCTCATCTCCTGTTTTCCTGTTTCCTGCCTTCCTTCGCCAGTATTTGGATCCCCTGGTTATCGACCCCTGGCTTGACTTCCCATTTATGATACTTGCTGCCTGCCTTGACCCAGACTATACTCTGACAATGCATTTTGGATTCTCCTATTTTGTACCTCATCCTTGACTTTCCTTCTGGTATTGTTCCCTGCTATTGGGTTCCACTCCAGCAAACAGGGGGACCCCGCTCCCTCTCTAACATAGGGGTCTATTAGTGTTAAGTAGACATGCGCATTTGGATTCGGAAGAACCTGCAAATCAACGAAATTCAGTTGATTCGGCGGTTCGTCCGAATCCAAAATAACACATTAATTATATGCCCAAATATACTAAAACTATATCCGGGCATACATAAATGCATTTGCAGAAAACGACATACTGGCCGCCAGTGCGTTTTGCACAGGCGCGCCGCCATCTTTGAGTATATTCGGACGCCGGATCTGAAACAGCAGAAAAATGGGTTTTCTTTGATGAAACGAAAGACAATGTTTTCCGTTTCTATTTGTTTTGTTAGAAAATAAATGTTTATGCAGTGCACATGTCTAGTGTTTAGGGGTTAAATTATTGCTAGATTTAAAGTGACACAACAGTCAAATCTTTTATAAGCTTTCTCTGCTCTCCTTACAGTAGGTAAGGTAATTGTGCTGTCCATTTATGTAAAAATATAAAACATACCTTTCTTTTGCTGTTTAAAACGTGGTGCGCTGCCACAGCTCCTTAAGTTTGTAGCTATTTCTGCTTTCATTTCAGCCGCTGTTCATGTGCGTAGTGAGAGAGTGCGTTATCACTGTTATCACTGGGCATGTGCCAATTAGCATATCTTTCTGCCCCCTTTCCTCCTTCTTAGTCTGGTGTTCTGTCGAAAATTCTGACCGGTCAAGATCTCGGACTGGTGATGTCGCCATAGGGACCATGGAGAAGAAAAGTAGCCACCCTCTGGCAGGGAGTTATAAAAACTCATTCTTAAATTACAATAGTATAGATCTTATTTTTTAAATTACATTTTTGGGTTTAGTGTTGCTTTAAGGGCTCAGGGTTTTAGGGGTTAAAGCAACTTTGCCACACAAAAAAAAGTCAAACTAAAAAATGTTGTCAAGTACATGAACCGTGAAGTGCTTGCACATACTTGCTGTAGTTTCCAAGCTTTTGCAGGAACCCTAGGCTGGTCTGCTGAGTACTCTGATACTTCCTGGTAGTGTTAAAGCTTGCTTGCTCTCTCCTTCCACCCATACATTTCTATTGACCCATCACAGTGCAGTAGTGGAAGTGTTGTTGGCCTACTAAAAAAAGTTAGGACTGCATTTTTGCATTTTCAGCATTTGCAGTATAACATAACATGGAGAAATGCTCATATTGGAGACCACACCTACACCCTAAGGGTCTGCATTCAATGGCTTATGTTTGTGTCAAAACTACTTGTTTTCAGTCAAAAGCAGGTTAATGTAGGTTAGATGGAGACCAAATGCAGGTTGGAAGGTGGTCTACTGCAGGACAAATGCACCTTTAAATTAACTGTGAATGATCTCAGAAGATTCTCAGGCTGATTGCAAATGCAAGCGGAATGCACCAGAAAGCAAGCTGCATTTGTCCATTGATGGGCCCAAAGCCCATTGACATAGGGCCTATGGAACAGATTGGGGTTTAAGTGTGTAGAAATGGATTGGTTAAGATAGGGTTGTTTAAGAAGTTTGGTTCGGTTAGATGTTACATGTTCGGATAGAGGAGCGTAAAGTATTATAGGGTGCTTTATTGTTGGGGACATTTAGTCTTTGTATTTACTGTTATGCTATAGATTTTTTATTTGCCTGAAATTACCAGCACCAAGAACAAAATGTATATATCAGTTTATCAACTGATACATTTTGAAACGTGGGATTTGTAGTTCCACCACAGCTGGAAGGCTGGAGTTTGGCAACCCCTGGTCTAGCCTCAGCCTATTCCCAGTGAAGAGACATATCACACGGACTATAATCAACAAAAAGAGGCTAGCTAAGCTGGTGAACATAAAGACAAAGTTTGATGCTAAACCCCATGGTCACGACACTTCCTGCTGCCCAACTTTGACCTCCGACATCTGCACATATGATGGGATGCTCCGGTACACCCTGCGGCTACCATCGCCTCCTGGTTGCACCACCCACCCACCTCCAATCTCTCCACCTACCGACACCCTTCCCCTTCTATTTACTGTTTTCTCTCTACCTTCCTCCCTCTTTTCCAAATTCACCTCTCCGTTCTTGCATTCCTAGTTACATAGATGGTGCCTTCCTGCAGCCACCTATCCCATGCCAAATTAAACTTCATCTTTAACAGTGTGAAGGCTTGCTGTTTGCCTGGAAGACACTTGCTCCTAATTATCTTTTGAGTACTCTATGTTAACTACAGCCAATCCGTGATGACACCTTTACTGTAATCCTGTGCCAAATAACACATGTGTAATTCTTCTTCTGTGATGTTGGAAATTTGCACCAATGAACTTATTTTCTTGTTTGTTCATTACATTTCTCAATACTTATTCTCCATTGCACAGCATGCTGTATCGTGAATGTTAATTCTGACTGGTTAACGTTTTCCACATCTTTATTAAGTTGTTTATACTATATGTATTTTGCTATGTATGCAAAGCTTGACTTCAATAAAGAACTATTGAAATTACATTTCTCAATACAAACTTAGATGAGCAAAAATGAAAGGGAAAGGAGGAAGTCTATATATACAAACTTGTAAAAGGTATCTCTAATAGAGTGGATAGCTAATGTTCCAATGTGCTAATGTTCCAATGTAGCACACATCTCATCCAAGTAGCTAGAAAGACATGGGTGCTCTTATTTTATAAAGGTGTATGTCGGTGGAGTCCCGAACCTCAGAGTAGACTGTAGACAGAAGCCAGAACCTAATTTCTAGAGGCAGCTCTCTGTCAACCAGGGTATCCCGATATCAAATATTTTAAGTGATGCTTGCTTTTTACACTCATATTATATATATATAATATATAATTTACAATATTATTTTAAATAATTTTTTCCTTACTCCAGATGATGAGTTTTGAGCCCCCGAAATGTGTCAGTGTTTTTATTTCCTTTTTATCTATATTGTGTCATGAAATATAATTCTTACTGGGCTCACTCAAGCTTTCTGGAGCTCTTATCCTTCTAATGTTCTTATTTCATAAAGGACTCGATGTATAATTTTTACCGATTATTCCCTAAACCCTCACGTCTCAACTGATGAGTCGTGACCCAAAAATGGGTCGCGACTCCTTGTTTAGTGGGTCGCTGCATGTCTTCCACTTTTCTAGGTGAGAGGTTCCTCAGCCTCCCGCTAGTGCAGCACTGTCAGTTCTTGAGCCAAGCAGCAATTCAGAATATGCTGCCCGGTGCCGAGTGTCAGCTTGTGGTGAGGTGGGATGTGGCTATGGCCGCAAGGGAGCTCCATCCATATGTGCATTGCTTACAGCTCCCTCATGTGCCCTGTAGAGGTGCCTGGACCAGAGTGACGTCACTTTCTGGCTCCCGACACCTCTACAGGGCACGCAAGGGAGCTGTGCAAGCAATGAAGATATAGATGGAGCTCCATCACAGCACAGCAGCCCACATTGGACACCGGGCTGAGGTTCTCGTAAGGTAGGGAGACTGGGTGGGATTTTTTTTGGAGTGTGTATGTGTGTGTTAGAATATCTGAGTGTGTGAGATTGTGGCTGTGTATGTATATCAGTGTTTTTGAGGGCCTGTTCCCACTAGTACAGTGCATCAGTTGCATGCAATAGCACCTACTACACGTTCTGGTGTGGGAGGTATGTTGTGTTGCCATTCATTTCAATGGTACCCCAAAGGAACCTCCCACACACAGTTTGATCGCCTGCACTGGAACGTGCGTTCCCGCAATGCCGTGCGTTCCATTGCAGTGCGACTTGGGTCGTGACTTAATGACCAAGGACAAATGTGAGTCCTGAGATTACACAGCTTGAGAACCACTGCCTTAAACTATATGCAGTGCAAGGGTTTTAGCAAACACTATTAGTACTCTTAACATTTTTTGTTCTGGAGGTATTGATGCAGGCAGTTTTTTGTTTGGCCAGGTTGTCCGTTAACACCTGCAGTCTTATAACATCTGCTACTGTACTTTTACCCCCGTTGGTACATTATTGTATCCGTGTGTTTATTGACCAGTTCCTTGTTTCTGTTTTTCAGGAGAACACTCACTAAGCTTTCACTAATCTTCAGTCACATTCTATGTGAACTTCGAGCCTTGTTCCCCGGTGGGCGTTATCAAGGAAACACATATCGTGTCACAAAACTCGAGGCATCCAATTTCTGGTCACAAACATATGGGAATAGGTAAAATGTTCGAATGTTCAAAATGTGCTGTAGTCTCTACTTGCTGTGTTCCTAAGACTTCCTCATACTATAATGATTATGGATATGCACATTGTCTGACATATTTCATTGTGGTTTTAAGGGATTTAATTCCACTGACCTGAATAGGACCATGCAGTGCAATGCAAGAACAATATAGCATGCAGGACTTCATCATAACATGGTAGTCGGAACACAGACTACACGAAATAATACATTTAATCTTTTTATTTTTAAAAATGCTGAAAAAGTGTTTTGGTGTGCATGGGCCCTTAGGATTTCAGTCAGTCCTAACAAGACATGGATATGTCCTTAGAAAGGAGATGACCATCACCCAACCCAGTAATGTAAACAAAGCAAGTTAGAGAGACGCCATCTTAGTTTATTTAGTCATTTTGAAGATGTTGATGTCCGTGTGGCAATTTTTGAGAGATTGTATAGACAAGATTCTATTACTCTCTACAATGTCCATCCAATGCAGACTGGCACTTGATAGTAGAGGTACATATAAACATGATGCAGCAACACATTGATATCTGAGTTTGATCTGTTGCTTGTCAACTTGTCTTATTTATTATTTACAGGTGTCTAATAAAATGGGAGGAGTTTAGAGGTGGACTTCATCCTGTGCACAACATAGAGGCAGGGCCTCTGGAATCTGCACTGCGCAGTACAATGGATTTAACATGCAATGACTACATCTCAATGTATGAGTTTGACATCTTCACACGTCTCTTCCAGGTAACCAATTTTATGTACAGCATATAACCATGCAAATTATTGAAGTAAGTGTTAGTGTTATTATTTTATTTTTGTTGTTATATCCCTCCTCTTTAAAGTGCTGGTTGCACTTTAGTCTATATTAATATAAACAGCATGTTCTAACATCAGACGTTTTCTCCATAAAATGCCACCACCACCATCACGGTTAGCCACACCACAGTCACATTTAGGTTATATTTTGCTTGGACGTTGGTGGAGCCCTTGCGGTGGGCATGGCGTATCATACCAAAAGAATTCAACCATTCAAGCCTACCCATTCAGGTCTGTGGGTCTGTGTCTGTCCAGCATGGTCTGTTTCAGTATGGCCATCATTGTAGGTCTCTAGCAGTATCCTTCAGTTTTTGTCTTTTCATCATAGTCTGTGTTCACCAATGTCGGTCTGTCTGCCTGTATTTGATTGTGATGGGTACATATGGTATAGAATAGAACAGTTCTTACCTAATACAAATGAGAATGACTTCAATGGGATGGACAGGGGTCTATTTTCTAAATTAAGACAAATTACCAGAGACATGAACCAGACATAATATTATAGTAAACGATACATTGCACCCAGAGAATGAAATGTGTAGGTATACTACCTTGAAACCAGTCTTTTTTCAGCCTGTCCTAGTAAAATAGATTTTCTTGTTCATATTTTGTAGCCCTGGTAAAGGCAAACCAATGTAACCAATGGAACACATTGGCTGTTTTATTTTGTATTCACCCAATACAAGATCCAATCATGAACTAATATATTTTTTCGGACTCTACAAGCATTGCGGTGGTGGTGGCGGCATTGGTTTCCTAACCTTTAGATTACACCCAGGACACTCTTCTAGGCTCCCTGGTGTACAAGAATTGCATAGCTAGAGCCATTGCACGCAATTAATCAAGTTCTTTTTTATGATATTGGACAGAGATAGCATGATCCAGTGCCTCGCATCTATAACCTTTGTCATAGAAAATTGACAGCTGAAATTTTATTGAGTAAATTGGACTTTATTTCCTTAGATGATTTATCTTTTTTCTATGATTCAACAGCCCTGGGAAACCCTGTTGCAGAACTGGATGCTGCTGGCTGTCACCCACCCTGGCTACATGGCGTTTCTCACCTATGACGAAGTTAAAGAGCTCCTTCAGGGCCACACACACAAGCCTGGCAGGTATGGCACCCTCTGCACTGTACTGGAACGTTTCCCTATTATTAAATGGCACCTACAGTTTTGGATGAATCCATATTTCTCTAAGGAAGCAGGTAGAAAAGGTAAGCAGTTTAAAAGGGCAGCTTTAGGTTCATTTAAAAAAAAAAAAGTTTTAAAGACTGCAACTTGGTTTGCAGGCCCTGCAGCAAAGGAATGGCAGAGCAGTAAAGGTACTGATTTATTTTCTATGGCTCAGTCTTTGGTTTGCCTGATGCTGGGTGACATTTTTTTTTTTTTAAATAAATGAACAGTTGTGATACAGATAACAATAATAATATATTATTACCTTATGTACAAGAAGGTTTAATTTACATATGTAATACTATGAAATTATGATTAATTATGAATATTATTATTCTATTACTACTACAAATAATAATAATTGTATAGTATTACAGAAGAGGGAATTCAACCTTCCTGCCCATACTAATAAATAACCTCTTGCAATAAATAATTCCCAGATGTACAGTTGAATGGCATGTGCAATAATTTTTGGGGTGCTGAATGACAGCCCAGGAACCTGCAGAATTACGATAGGCCTGGAATCTGACACCTCTAAAACACACTTAAACCTTTATCATATCCATTTTTCCAAGTTCAACTCCAAGACAATAATAAAGACTGATGAACCCAGTTATGTATCCCTAAAGCAACACAATGCTTATACATACTGTCAATAAAAGTACCAGAATCTAGTTTTAGATTAACATTCAAAAGTCCCCTGCACAGCAGAACTCAGACTTGAAGAGCAGGGAAAACCACTGTGAGCTAAAAAGGTACTATTTCAGTACAGTCAGGCTTACATGTTCAGCCTCGTGACAGGAGGGGAGAGTAGCCCGAGCACAATAATAACCAATGATAACCTGACCAATCTGCTGATGCTGGATCACAGTCTAGTCAGCATGCTGGGAATAGGTCTGTAGCCAAGATGTACATCTTAACTGCAGTAAAGAAAAGTGAAGTCACTTGGTCTCTCAGGAAATGCGAGAAGCTGCTTTATATAGAACTTACATTTTGCAGAGTCATAGATAGTCATTTATATTTTATCCATGCAGTCTAGTTGGAAAGGCAAAGATAAACAGCTCTACCGCATTGAAGGTTTACAATGTGCACTTCAGTTAACTGCATTGTGCGAAATACTGATCCATCAGTCATGTTCTTAAGTAATACCCTCCTGGCCTATACCCAGCTAACTTTAAAGTAAATCTCACATGCATCTGTCCTTCAGATAAGCTATTCCGGTTCACTTGCTTTACTCTCTTTTAAATAGTGCTAAGTGGGAGCTTTAAACTGTGCTATAATTGGTTAACCAGCACCATTAATACAATGATAAACCCTTTTGACGTGCATGCTTCATACTTGTAATTAAAACTTCCGGTGAATTAAACATTGGGAACAGTTCCAGAAATTCCTGAAATTTGATTTTAAGCACCACACAGGCTGCAAAAACAAAATTAAAGGTGCAATGATCTTCCTACTGCAATTGCAAAAGGTTGATTTCTACTATTTAGAGGTTAAGGAAAAGCACATGCAGTGTTATGGATGTTATGGAGGTAACTTCCTCCGTGTTCAGAACTTCCATTGTGCTTTTGTACATAAAAATGCTTTTGCTTACAATAAAGGGGGAACAGGCTATTCTTAATGTCTAAAATGTATCTGTATCCTTTATTAGCACTATTCTTCACTGGAAACACAAACTAATTTGGAGGGTAGGCCACTTACGTTGGGCTATATAGAAGGTGTGATGGCCAGGTGTCAAAAAATGTTGCCCTTAGTGTAGAGTCACGTTATTGCCAAGTGCCTCTTTCTTTATATGCACTCACAAATTAACTCTTCTTTGCTGCTCATTCTTGTGGAGTAAGCCTTGAGTAAGTTGTGGGGCAAGGAAATGAGGATTCTCTGCATTCTGGGGGCATGATTGCAAGAAACAAAATATGCAATGTTTTTGTAAGTTTAAGTAAATTATAATTCAAAATGAAACACATTGAAAAATATTAGACTATCAAATGGCTTATGTAGCTATTATATGTCAAATTAGTTTTAATGACATTGGAATTTTCTGTCACAAATCAAAATGCCTGTCTCGGCAGTCTTTGATTAAAGGTGTTATTCCTCAACCTTTAAGCTACTGATTACAAGAATTTTAAGTGTAAGCAGCAATGGTCCATGGGTAGCTCCAAATTAGATAAAAGGTTTATTTGACATGTGGTGTGGGGTAGGTCCTTAGTCTGTCAGGCCAATGCCCACACCACCCTTGTTCATACAGCTTATAAAGGTTCACACATCAAGATAAAGATTATAATTATATATAATTGGTCAGGTTTAAAAAATTCCAAAATAAACCCAATGGTGAAACAGCAATATGAAAGACTTGTTCCTCGCGTATACATAGCAAGTGTCTGAATTTTGATAAACTAAAAACTCCTAGAATGGCAAATTGTCTCTCCAATGACTAAAGCTGACCATAAACCTATAGATTATCTGCAGATTTTCTATGGTCAGATGGAAAAAGTGCAACAGATTCCTTCATCTACGCTAAAGTGTGTGGATGGAGGAATCTCACACTGGGCCAAGCTACAGTATCTTGCTAGTCGGCCCCGCTGGCTGTCAAAATACATGAACAACCTGATTGGATGCAGGCATTGTTCAGGTATTTTGCTAGACAGCGAGGCCGACTAGCAAGATACTGAAGCTTGGCCCAGTGGGAGATTCCTCCATCCACACAGTTCAGCGTAGATGGAGGAATCTGTTGCACTTTTCCATCTGACCATAGAAAATCTACAGATAATCTATAGGTGTATGGTCAGCTTTAAGATAACAGCTAGCCCCTTTCAGGAAAGAGTGACTTCCAACTTTATGTCTCAGGAACAAATGATAAACATGTTGTTTTTAAGTGTCCATTAGATGTTTTAAGATCTCTAACTCTATTTAATAGCATGTAAATAGCTTCTTTATTATAATATACATATAGAATATGATCGCATAGTGGAATATCTTTAACCTGTCATATTAGATGTCATATCATTTACTTCTGGTAGAGTGTTATCTTCTACCATATTTACTAAACAGTCTTACTTATGATATCCAAAACCGCCAGGACTCACTGCTCCGAATCAATCTGTGACTGCAAATCAGCACATGCACCGGTTGCAGGCTAAAGTGTGCTCTCACCACCCAAGCGATACTTCCAAAATCCGCCGCACATAACCGGTAATCTTAAAATCCAATTTTATTGTAGTGAATTCAAACCAAAGTCCAAAGTTCAGCATATAAACCACCAAAGATCTCTATACCAGTACCTTCTTATGCGTTTCACCGCCTAGGCTTAATCATAGAGGACATCCTCTATGATTATGCCCAGGTGGTGAAACGTGTAAAAGGTGCTGGTATAGATGAGATTTTTGGTGGTGTATATACTGAACTTTGTATTGAATTCACTACAATGAAATAGTTTTTTATAAATACCAGTTATGTGTGGCAGATTTTGGAAGTACCTCTTACTTATGAGATGCATTTCATAATATGTTTCATTAAGCATAATATCAAACTGATTGAAAAAATGGAATCTGAAAATGTGATTCAGCAGGAATCATCAATATTCCCTACACCCTACATACCAACCAGTTAACAGGAGAGTTAAGCAGATATTATTCAGATTCTTGGTTAGTGAAGTCACTTCCCTAACATACATGTGACCCCATTTGATAAGAAAGTCACTTGCAATCAGCTGCTTCTGAGATAAGGGTTATGCTTCATGTCAAAACTGACCAATTTTCTACTTACCTCTGCATCTATATTTGCTTATGATTATTTGACATGAACTGATAGCAATAAAACTTCCACTAGGATAGAAATTCTCACTGTTGATGGACTTTAAATATTATTATAATGTAGTCCTGTTTACTCCCTGTCCCAGAATAACCGGTTTTATTTCTGGAAGTGACATTCATAGGAAATGCATTCATTGTGCCAGGCAGTAACAAGGTACAAATGTGACCGATCAGCTGTAATGGATGTACAAATGTACCTTGTGTTTTGTGGGAAGGACATTAGTTTGAAATACATTTAAAGACGCTGTGATCAATGCTGGATTTTTGGCTAAGATCCAATGCCATTGACACTGATGTGATTGGGTATTACAAGTGAGTTAATCATAGGTAATAGAACAAGTGAAAATTGGGGGGAGAGGGGTGAATCCTTCTGTTAAAATCTAATTGACAATAGTTAAGGGATTGTCAAATAAACTGTGGGGTAAGCCACCTCTCGGTCTGGGCTTGGAGAGCTGGCAGCAGCTTTGGCTCCTGTCTCCCAAGCATGCAAGCTGGAGGACAGCATGGCAGTGTATAGCCTGCGACGTTGGGACCCTTGGGGGGAAAAGTTGGTTTCAAGGAGTCGAAGTCTGAGGCCAGTGAGAAGGAAGGGGTGACTGTCCGGTCACCTTTGCACAAGACAAATGGCAGCACCACCAGCTCCAGCAATGTGCCCATCCTGCATCCTTCCAAGCCACTGACCCAGTCTACCGTGAAGGATATCTAGCATAAGAATGCTTGTTGGACCATGTGTCCATGGTCATGTGTACCCTGCCTCTGACAGCATGGTCAAGCACCACAGACACATTACATTCCACATGCTGGTGAAGGTTAGGAAAGGCAGTCTGGGCAAAATAATGATGGCTGGCCACCTGCCACGGCGGTGTAGCACAGGCCATGAACTCAAGAATGGGGCTGATTTTATAAGCTGGAAAGCAAATACTGACAAAGCCAGCCGTTTTGCGCAGCAGCCAAACAACTACTTTAGTTGTTGCTGACACACACACACAAAAAAAAAATAGTCCTAAAAAGGACTGTTGGGTCTCTAAACTATGAACATGGAGGTACACAGGAATATGTAGCCCACTACAGTGCAAAGCACAATAAGTTGGTGAAATATATCACAATACAGTATGGTATAACACCAAACTCCCTCTACATAGAGCATTGCTTTTCCCTAAACTACTCCAACCACACACACAGTGAGGAAGCTGGCACATAACAAAACCCTGATTATTATCCCTTCTAAGTCAGCTGACCTAGGTTCCAAGGAAAGGTAGTGCATTATGGTTAAAAAGAATTATGATTGGCAAGTTTCACCATAAATTTGCCAGAGCCGTGAACCTTGAACAAGGTGGCCTCAAAACCATATGCCTCAAACCCATACCCATGGTAGGTACTAACCAGAACCACATCTAGTGGGGATGGGTAGGTTCAGGTTTGTTGGTTTATATTTAAAGTGCTTTTCTAGCCAAAACTTTTTTGGCTAAAGTGGGAAATGGTTAAAATCCTAATTTTCCTAATTGGAGAGGAAATCTCTCCAACATGAGGGAACTTTCATCTGACACAGTTGTCAGAACAAATGTCTTTATTGTATGTCTCACTTTCTTTTTCAGTGAAAACTAACATTTTGGATGTCCCATCTACAGTATACTGAATATAAAGATGGGATGGGAATCTATAGACTGAATGTTCTGACCATACCAGTTGCATACCTGTTTCCAGTCAGTGGTTTGCTATATATTACATCAGAATGAGTGCCAGGCAATTATAATCTTCAGAAAGGGGTTGCAATAGCAGCACAGGTAGTTCTCTCTTTAAAAAGATAACTTTCGAGGTGGATGTATGCAAAAATTTTAATGCTTTACTGTAACTTTAATTAATAGGTTGTCCCTTTTTTCCTACAGTTATATCTTCCGGTTAAGTTGCACACATCTCGGACAGTGGGCAATTGGCTATGTAACTGCTAATGGCAGCATTCTACAGACCATACCTCACAACAAGTCTTTATATGAAGCCCTGAATGAAGGAGAGAAAGAAGGCCTGTAAGTCAGAGATGCAGCTGGGGATTTATGGGGATCTGGGAAGTACACAATCAAATGACGAGGAAGAGGGCTCAGGGGCTGTGAGGTTGAGGGCTGCTCAGAGGATGTAAGGGCGAGGACTGATCAAGGGCTGTAAGGATGAGAGCTGATGAGCGGATGTGAGAGGTTATCAAAGGCTATGAGGCTGAGGACTGGTCATGGTCTGTGAGGGAGAGGACTGCTCAGGGACTGAGTTTGAGTGAGGTTTGGTTAAAAAGTTTGAGGATGAGGGCTAGTTCGGAGGCTGGTGGGATGAGAGCTGGTAAAATGCAGTGAGATTGAGAGCTGTGGAAAACCTTATGAGGGTGATGGCTCATCAAATGGCTGTGTTGTGATAGTTAGAAGGCTGTGAGGGTGAAGACTGGTCCAGAGGCTGTTAGGAAGTGGGCTGGTCAGAGGAATGTGAAGGTGAGGGCTTGTCAGAAGTCTGTGAGGGTGAGGGATGGACAGGGTCTGCGAGGGTCAGGTCTTGTCAGGAGGCTATAAGGGTGAGGGCTGCTTAGGGGCTGTGAGGATTATGGCTTGTCAGAAGGAAGGCTGTGAGAATAAGGATGAATACAGAGGACTGTAATGGTGAAGACTGGCCACGACTGGTCCAAACTGAGAAATGGGCAAATGTTGGTTAGAGTAAGAGAATGGGTCAGGGGCAGAGGACCAGACAGGCATCAAATGAGAGAATCAGTATCTGTGATTTCTGCTGGCTGACTGGGTTTTGACAATTTCAGAAGTCACCATGAAGTGACAAGCTATGTTCACTTTTACTTAATGTTACAACCTAAAAGAATCTGAATGGTTGCTATGTGCATATTTATATATAGGATACTTGATTAATGTACCCTGACTATAAATTACTAAACGTTGTGTGCTTGTCTTTAACATGTGTATGCTGTATCGAGCAGGTATCTCTATCCAAATGGTTTGAACAGTAAACATAGTTTGTCATGTGTCGCTAAACCGAATCCAAACTCGGTGATTCAAGTGACCCAGGTATGTCAAGTGTACACTAAAAATATATTCTAGTGCAGTATATGATGCAAGAAGTATAACATTCTGTGGCTGAAGGATCAGGAAAAGTAAAAACTTACAGTAAGGCTTCAAATTTAAGTGGTGGGGGTTGTGCACTGAGGTTCTTTAGAGGAGAGGTGAACAGAAGCAGGTAGGAATTTCCAATGGTATTCAATTACATTTTTTTAAAAGGCCTTCAGTTTACCTGAAAATGTAAAAAAACAAAACAAGTTTCACTTCACGTTAGCACCTCAAAGGTATGTAAACTATAACAATGAACTCCTATTTGTCCCCTTTTGATCTGTTAAATATACCTTAGAAAGTGTGTTGTTATATCTGCTTGATAAGTGCAAAAGAAACCTGTGGGGATCCTTGTAGTCCTGTCCTAGGGTAACAACACTGCTTCTTCAATGATAGTCAGTGAGGGAGCTTTGCCACCCTGAGACAGAAATTGTGTTACTGGTGTGATCACCATGTGAAAATAAAGGGAAAAAGCCTGAAGAAAAAAAAAAATCTAATGTAACCACCGTGTCTAAGAAATGGTAAGGTGCAATAGATACTTTTTTTGTTATTGGATTTAGATGCTCTTTTAAGGCAAACCCGTTTGGAATGGGAATGTGACCATGCTTCAACAGGAAATGTGGTCTGAAAGGTGGATTATGCTCTTAAAGCAAAACAGGAAATGGAAGTTGTGACATCACTACTGTTGCATTGTGTACTAAATAGCATTTGATGATCACTTATTGATTTCACTAATTGCTTGTGGTTGCTGCTTAAAATTGATCAATTGGCTTAACATTTATTTTCCTCAAACCTCTCTCTCCCCTGATGAGCTGCCCCAGTGTGAATTTTTCAATTACCTTGAACCTCACAGCCTCCTGTAGTGAAATAAGCATCTTCTTAGTCACAGTGGCTCCATATAAGTCTTCTAGCAGTGGTACTGGGAGGAGGTTTCTGTACGGCGCCCAATATCACAGCGTATTGCTATAGGGACATCCTGCAGAAATACATCTTCCATGAGCCCTCAGCCTACACTGTGTGTAAGTTGAGGGCAGTGTAGTACTGCTACTTTAGGAAGCACTGACGTGATAACATCAGCGCTGCTTGATTAGAACTACTAGGGGGTGTTAAGTTGACTGCCCACCCAGCACACAGAGAGCCGATGGGGTGATCAGTCTCCTCGACGGGAAATGTAGCCACTTGTAAACTTTGAAGGCACATTTTCCAGTAGGATTGTTTTGAAGAAAGGTATTCAAGCACTTTAATGCATGTAAGAGTGATTTTATATATGCCTGGAGATGCCATGAGATCAGGGAAAACATTATGGTTTGTTGTTAATTGTATTATTATTTTTAAATTATTGTTTTATATCTTTTTTTACTATTTATATAGCATCTGCTAAATAAACCTATAATACAGGATACACCGATGGTATCATAGAGCACGTTGGGTTTACTGAGGAGAGAGCTGTTTGTTTTCATACTCTCTCTCTCTCTCTCTCTTCAAATGAAACTCTACGTGGAGATAAACAAGCAGAGAGGTGGAGGGAGGGGGGACTAGTCATTCTTCTGGGTAATTTAGCTGCTTGTTTAACATGAGTTTCAACTATTGAACTCTTCGGGCCTTTTTTTTCTTAAGAAAAGCAGTTACATTCCGCTTGGTAAATGTGTGAAATAGCCAGGATCTCTGACTCCTTGAAGGAAAAGTAAATTTAAAATGTTTATATGCAATATTACATATTTACCTGTCTAAACAAAAAGAAAAAAAAAAAGCAGATTATTTTTTTATTGCTTCACGTACATACACAATATATTCAGTAAACCATTTGAAATTGAAAAGCTTTCTGTGCTGTCCTTACAGGAACAGTGGGAATTGTATTCAGACATGGATTCCACCTTTGAACTGTGCAAAATCTGTGCGGACAGCGAAAAGAACATTCGGATAGAGCCTTGTGGCCACTTATTGTGTGACCAGTGTCTAACATCCTGGCAGGTAATATAGCCCAGTCTGCAGAGGGAAATGGAAGATAATAGCTCTTTATAGTAAGACGTGCACATGACTTGAGGTATAACTTAGGACCACCTAAGAAAATCTGAATGCAAAAAAAAAAGAGAAATGTAATCTAAATTCCTGCAAAGCATAAGACTCAAAACATGACTAGAATGCGAGTTAACCTGTTCACATACAGTATGTTACAATTGCATTGTTCAAACTATTTTAGATGTTCCAACTATGTAATGCAAATGTGTGACTAACTGGATATTAAGTGAATGGATTATTAAAGTGACACTACACTCAGGCGTTAAATCTTAAAACTGCATTCAAGTACCTAACTATTAACATAAATGTATCTTGTGTATCACTTGGCTGTAGATCCTCAAATCATCTCTGAATTGGTGCTGACACTGTCCTTCCTTCTGGAGGGTGGCTACTTTTGTTCCCCAGGGTCTCTGTGTGTGTTGTAAAGTAGCCACCGCTACAAGCTCACTTCTGTGATGGACACAATATGAATTAGTAAACTAAATGTGAGATTCTAATTCATCTGAGTGAGCTTAGAGCAGTGAATACACACAGAGACCATGGGAAACACATGTAGCCATCCTACATAGTTTTCGGAAAACATTACAGCACCCTGCCCCAGTATTCCTCACAAGAGCCTTCAGCCCTGATGCAAGCAGTGGTTTGGCTCTTGAGAGGACTTATGCAAATATCAAAATGCCTTGATGTCAGTCTGGATGGATGTCAGCCTGGAAGAGTGGGCATTTCTAGGCAGGCTGTATTTGCATGCAGATCAACTTAGATAATGCCCACGTGTGATGCTGAGCCTCTATGATTGAAAGAACTGAAATTGAATAAATGAAAGGGGCAGGCCATAGACAGTAAGGCTGAACATCCTCCAGTCAGGAAATTAGGTGGGCACTATCTGAATAGCTACAGGTTCTAATTCACATTGTGAGAAGCTCACAGTGTGCAATGAAATCAGAGTAAGCAATTTCAGTCCAGCAGAGGAGCAGGTACAGTTGAGCAAGACTAAAGGGAAGGCTAGAGTTCAGCTTTTGTGCTTGCAGGGCTGCACGCCTGCCACATCGAAAACATGGAGGTCCCACTCTTCCTGTTGGATTTGTAATTTATTTTCTGCTATCAAGAATGCAACAAAAAGAATAGGGACATCCCAAGGCAGATGGGAGCACTTCTTCTTTGGTGGCAGGAAGTGAACCAGGAGCTTCGACAGGGGGATCTTGTCAGTTTAGTCTCTGAGAGACACAGGAAACCAGAGGATTATTCAGTCTACCTATAGTCCACCTAGAGCCAACTGAAATATCACTTTTTGTTGGGATAATGCTTTAAAGCGGTTTACTTTTAGCTTTCCTTTAATGAAAGTCTTCTTAGTCCTGCAACTTGCCCACTACTCCATTGACTTTAATTGGAAGTCAATCAAACTGTCGAGCTACAGATTTCTATTAAAGTCAATAGCCCAATTACTCTATGTCTGAGGGGCAAGATCAAGATTGTGAAGGGACACCGTGTCGCTCACGGCCCCAAGGTGGTGTTTTGGTATGTATGACCTATTATAAAATTGCTGAGCGAGGGGTATCAGAAGTGCACTGACAGTTAAGCACTTATCATTTAAACAGTGTGAAGTGCACTTGTAGTTCATCTAATGTGTATTTTAAAGGTGTTTGTGCCTTTTTTTAACCCTTTATATGCATATAAAACAAAACCTTTATATTAATGTAATGCCAATGCAAAATAAATGCAGAAATACAGACTAAAATATATTAAACACATCTAGGAAGGGAATTGAAACAGAATTGTTTTCATTATACTTTTTCATGCATGTTGGATACCTCCAAGAGATGGGCCAGTGTGTTCATGGCCAAGTATACTCATTCAAGTCTAAGAGCTTAGCAAATACTAAATATTATGCAAACAAAAGTAGTTATTTTAAAAGCATAGGTGATTGCTTGGATAGCATTGGTATACATTTAAGGGGGTGTGGACAACCAATGTACATATTTTAGGGGGTATTTAAGATGAATTGTAACACCCAAGTGGGTGGTTGCTGGGCATTTGCAGTAATGAATGAAGGGCTATATAATATGATATTGATGCAAAACCGTGACTTGGTGGGGGTCCAACTTGTAGTCTAAAGGTAGCCATACACTTTACAACCATCGCAAGACCTCAGTCTTGCGATGGTTGTAAAGTAATTAAAAAAATGTACGATCTGCCCATCTTGGACAGGCAGATCGTACTTGCGATCATCACAAGCCCGTCCCCCTGAGGGGCGGGCTTCCGATGACCGCAATGCTGAACGGGCAGTGTGCGCATGCTCACAACGGCGCGTTCGGCATTTGTCTCCTGAGCATCATTCAAACCAGCCGAAATTCGTAAGATTTTCGGCTGGTTTTCTAGCATGCTCCTTAGACAAAAGATGTGCGACCGTACAGTAGAAGCGGTCGCACGTCTTCATTTACACTGCACGATTCTCGTACGATCGCGGGATTTCCCGCGATTCTCGTACGAGAATCGTGCAGAGTATGGGCACCTTAAGGCAAATACTTAGGTGGCTTTACTTTTCATCAATCTCAATATAGATTCCCCATGTCTGGTCTGTATTTAATTTATGCATTGTGTTTTAAGGGAATTGGTGGGCACCTGGCATCTAAGACACCGGCCCCAGACCACAGCCGTGAACCCTGGACCTCTGACCTTTCAGCTACTACTTAAAAGTGCATCTCTAGGCAATGTTGTGTTCATTTTGGTTAGAGTGGAGGAAGGGGTAAACTCTGTCATTTTTGTTTTACTACAGACCAGGTAGCAGGCAAGTAGCCGGTCTCTTCTGACCTAGGAGCGAGCATTACTCTAGGTACTAGGAGAGAAGGACACTGGTCCTAAGAGACCAGGGACACTGAGAGGGCAAAGGGAAGAGATAGAGAGGTCTGTAAAGGACATTAGGGCTGTTCACCATACCAACTTTTATCCACAGGCAGAATGCCCCAAAGCCCTTTAGGACCCTACAATGCCTATAAACTTTTAGTTCCCATCATGTCCTATTTTTTTCTTTGCAGAAAAATGAGAACACATGTCCATTCTGCCGACACAAAATCACAGGCAAAGAAAAGATTCACATTACTTCACCGCCGAAGCAAGAAGAGGTGGGTAACATCAGTGGTGAACTAAAGAAATACAAGAGATACAGTAAACAAAAACTTTTCTAAAGTTTCCTATGATAGCTGGTATAACAGCAACATAAAAGAGAGAACATTCTACTTCTGCTTTTGTAGCGGTAAGGCTGCAACCTTACACAAGCTAAAAGAGGTCTTATTGCTTAATCCTTCACCTAGAAATCTAAATAAATGCATATTTTCTTTAATTTTCTTGCTTTTTCTCATTTGTCATACATTGGCTAAAGCCGGTTTGACTGGTTTTGAACCAGTATTGGGCTGCTTTGGAGAATTTCACCTGACAAACCTGTTTGGGAATATTCTTTGCTGTACACTGTATGCTATGGTAGCTATGATTTTCCTTATGCCACTCTCATTGCCTTTCAGCATCAAACAGAAACCTCAGGCCCACAGACCTTCTCGGAGCCACCACCCCATGAAGTGAGTAGTGATCACTGTGACTCTCGTCCGTTGTACGGCTGTCTCTCTCTGTCCTGTTTCTGCAGTGCTGTGTCCTGTTGTCTGACCTCATAGAAGACTGTCCTTCCTTATGTGTGCATTGGTGACTCCATACATGGCATTATAATGTGACATTGTCTTGTGCCAGGAGGGTGCTGACTTGGCCAGCACTTTATCTAAATCCTTCATCGATGAAGAGGAAGTGGACTGGATTAGAAACCGACCCCTCCCACCACGCCCTGGGGCACCAGCCCTTCCATCTTTCCACCCTTCAACATTTGCTGCTCCACGTCCATCAGCACCTCCTTTGCCCCCTCTTCCCCCTCACCTTCAAACTACTCTATCCAGAAGAATGAGGCTACACGCAACAGATGTTATCAGAGGAAGTCATCATTAACCCAACTATGGATGGTCTGAATCTACAGAAAGTGATTCATATCAGAACGCATTTGATGATAGTCAACAGTGTTCCTATTGAGTTCTTAAGCCCCAGAGTGACAATGTCAATATCAAGGCACAGCTTTAGTTGTGAATCATGAAGCCTTCACATGCTAATTCTATGCTTCTATGAAAACTGTAAGAAGGGGTAATGATAGAAGCCAAAGGGCTCACATTCTTTACAAGATCCACTCATATCTAACACACACACACACTTTTAGAAGATAAATCTATAAAGCACCTAAAACACCCTGAAGTTCACTTGTGTATTTATTGCATCCATGAGTCTTACTATAAGAACTGTTATTATAACCATTTTTCCCCATGCACTGGCTACATCTCTGCAAACAGGGTCTCAGTACATATACAGCCAAAAGTAGCTAGCACAAGTATCCAACAGTCTAAAAAACTTGTCTATTGCATCAATGACCAGGCAGAACATGTGACATACACTACTCCATCTTGTAGCAAAGGTATGGATTGTGACCCAAGATATAGGGGGTCATTCAGCACGGCCAATATGAGCCATACATTGGCTAAAATCAGCCGTCCATCAACTGCATTCGGTTAGCCGAACATACTCTGCATGTTTGGCTGAGCTGAAGTCCAGAAGGAGTTCGACTCAGCCGATCCAACATCTGGATTGGCTGAGCCAAAACTCCAGCAGCTCACTCGCTGCCGTTCGCCCCTATTCTCATATTCCCCTATTCTCGGCTATTCTGCTCGGTACCTCCGAGGTACCGAGCAGAATAGAAAATGAGGGAAATACATTTTAAGAAAAGAAAAAAAAAGTTGAAAAATTGTTTTAAAATGTAGGAAAATGAAAAAGAAATTAAAATAGTTTAAAGAAAATAAATGAAGACAATTAAAAATATATTTTGTTTAAATGCCGGCAAAGATGCTGGCAAAAGAAAAACAGTTGGGCGTAGCTACGGTAGCAGTGACAGCTAGCTCTGCCCAACTGTTTCCTATTGGCCGGCACCTGCCAGAGTCTTCTAGCAGGTCCCGGGCAATAAATAACAACTGGGCAGAGCCGGCCATGATGTCACAGCCGGCTCCACCCAGTTGTCATTGTTTAATGACAGATCAGCGTCCCCAAGTCATTTAGGGATGCTGACCTGTCATTATAACTGGGCGGAGCGAGCCATGAGATCACGGCTGGCTCTGGCCAGGTGTCGTTTGCGCGGAGATCGCTCGGTTTCGGCTGACCTTTCTCCAAGCTTCGTCTGTCCCTTTGGCTGCTGTACTGTATTGTGAATAGCTGGTACAGCAGTCCTTCGGTTTGACTGAAGAGAGTGGAGTCTGCAGTAAGTGCAGCAGTGTCACAGTTTGCAGAGAGTGGAGTCTGCAGTCGGTGGAGCAGAGGCACAGACTGCAGTCGGTGGAGCAGAGGCACAGACTGCAGTCGGAGGAGCAGAGGCACAGACTGCAGTCGGTGGAGCTGAGGCACAGACTGCAGTCGGTGGAGCAGAGGCACAGACTGCAGTCGGTGGAGCAGAGGCACAGACTGCAGTCGGTGGAGCAGAGGCACAGACTGCAGTCGGTGGAGCAGAGGCACAGACTGCAGTCGGTGGAGCAGAGGCACAGACTGCAGTCGGAGGAGCAGAGGCACAGACTGCAGTCGGTGGAGCTGAGGCACAGACTGCAGTCGGTGGAGCAGAGGCACAGACTGCAGTCGGTAGAGTAGTGGCACAGTCTGTTGTCTAAAAAGTATTATTACAATCCTTACGCTGTGCAGCCATATAGCACAGCATGGGTAAGTGAATTACCTTACAAATCATCTGGCAGGTACAGTGGTTTCTATATACAGTATGTATTACAACTGTAGACTGATGCAGATGATGAAAAATACATGTGCATGACAACAAAGAATGAATTTCCAAAAAAAAACCTAAAAACATAGTCAAGTGTTCTCTGTTATCTACATGCATTAAATTTGCATAAAGGACTGCTAGAAGCTTAAGCAGTAAAAGGAACTAAAAAAAGGAAATAAATTAAGGAAATACTTTTTGATTTAGGGTCATCATAACTTTTCATAAATTAAAGGAAAGGCTTTTAGCAATGCAAGGGTGCACTGGTACTGGTGACCGTTTTTTCTGTTTTGTAATCAGAAATAAATCCCCCAATGGTATCACCTAGGGCAGTGCTTTTTATCCTATCCCGCTGGTAGGCCACACCCGATAAGCCGCTCCTTATTAATAAACTGCTCCCAACTGCTTTTTAAAATATGAAATTTAAGCAAGTCACTCTACTGTGATTGCAGATAACCGTCAAGTTTCCATGGACTATAAAAACATTTCAGCGACCTTCTGGGTATTAAGATTTTACCAGGTAAGTAATCATGGTGGGGTTGATTTGCTAAAGGCAAATAAATAGAGGCAATTTTCTCTTTTCAAGGAATTTTCATGTAGCTTAGCATATAAGGTGAGGCTCCACTGACTTCCATCATCCATTCATGTGCACTGTTTTTTTTTGTTCTATTTTCCTTGCATGTGATTTGGTATTCTTTGCAAAGTAAATTTACACCACATTCACTAACCTAAGTAAAAAAATTCCTTGCAAAGTGAACAGCCTATTTGCCTTTAGTAAATCAAACCCAGTGACTCAATTATTAGCATTTTTGCCTTGCAAGTGCTGGTTTTGAGCCTGTGTCCTCCCTAAGTATGTTTGGTTTTCATTCCGTAACCCATTTTAATTCTAATATTGTTACTGTATTGATGTCCGGAAAATTTGGTCCTAGTGTTAGAGTTGCCATCTGTCCGGGATCCACCCGGACAGTGCAGGTTTGAAATCTTGTGCCCCGTTTTCAAGTCAGCTGAGAACCGGACACAAGATGCAGTCTAAGAGCTCCATCAGAGCGGCCACTCGGCCAGGCAGAACACAGAGCACAGAGCGGCCACGCCCCCCATCACCACCCGACCTCAGACGTAGCTGGGAGGACTGTGCAGGAGACGAGCTGCCCTGTGAAAGATCACAGAACACAGAGTCCAGGAGAAGGTGAGCTGACAGCGGGGAGGATTCACTAGCAGACACTAGCACAGTGAAGAGTGACCGGAGCTCCACTACCCCATGCTGGACACATGGGGGGGGTGGCACAGGAGCAAATCTGAGGACACAGGGGTGAAACTGAGGGGAGACACAGGCAGGGCTGCCATCAGTGGGGTACGGCCAATAGTCATATGAGGGGCCCGGGCAGCCTGGGGGGCCCAGGCCCCTTACATGCATATTGGCCATACAAGGGGCGGCATGACAGAGGAAAAAAGTGGGGGAAGCAGGGCCTTAGCAGCACTGATCCAGTGGCAGAGGAGGCTAGGCCCTAGGTGAGCTCTGCGGGTTCTCAGGTAGGTCCTAAAACCAGCACGTTACTTATCCCAGAGTCCAGTGCGTTACTTATCCCAGAGTCCAGCGCGTTACTTATCCCAGAGTCCAGCCGGTTACTTATCCCAGGGCCCAGCTCGTTACTTATCCCAGAGTCCACCGCAGCACTAAGCCCAGATGTACGTGTATGTGGGGAATGTAAAAAAAAAAATTTTTTGATTTTGTTTTTATATGACACTTTCATTTTTTTATATATTTTTTTTTGTTTACACTTATTTGTATCACATGTAATAGCAATTAGGACATGACAGGTCCTCTTCATGGAGATATCTGAAAGACCCCTAAAGTCACCTAGAGACCCCAATGAAGCAGCACTAGAGTGTACGGGTTTCACTTGAAGAAAAGGTGGCAACCCTACCTAGTATGCATGTGCTGTGAGTGCGATAGGCATATTTTATAGATTGTAAGCTCTTTCAAGGGCATAGACTGATATAAATGGATCTATGTTTTCTAAAGAGCACTATGTAATGTATTAATGTTATATAAATATGGAAAATAAACTTCCTGACAACAAGCTTATTACAGTCACCAATGTATTCATATACAGGAAATGACAAAGCTGTGAATGAGCCAAATCTGATAATGGCATTAACCACTGAAAATTGCAATATTCTATGTGTACCACCAGAGGGAGGTGAAGTAAAAGTGATATATTCATACAAATATGTATACGCACATAAACATAAACATATTTGTACAAATAAAAAAAAATAGTTTTTAACTCATTGTTTTATATTTACACTCTAAAAATATTTTAGTGCAAAAATATCTCCCAAAAAATTGGAGAAACTAAAACAAAATGGGAGGATAAAGGAGAAATTGCTGTATGGTGCTGTATGTTGCACAGATCTAAGGTAGTAAGGATTGAGAATAGAATTATCTTTCTTGCTTGTTTTCTGCCAGTTTTAGCTAGCAACCTGAGCAACATTTATTACCGTATTAGAATATGTCTCCACAAAGACCTCTTGTGTTGAGTCGCTCTCAAGGCATCAGGAATTCCTAGACCCAGTTGGATGGCCTTGATCTTATAAGGGGCTTGAAGTGCTAAAAAAAAAATTACCTGTCCACTTTTGTTTACCAAAAAAACTCTACAATAGCAGACGGGTCCTTTTTTACCTCATCTATCCCAAAACTATTGGATGATTGGCAGTGGCGTCACAAGGGGGGTGCGGCCCGCACCCGGGTGACACCCAAATGACTCACAGTCATTTTGGTGTCACCCCCTCTGAAAATTTGGGCGCTCGGTCATGGACCGAACGCACGACAGTATCAGGAGATAGGAGGGGACCCGGCGGCATACATTATCCCACCGGGTGACTGTCCCCTCCTCTCTCTGCCGGCGTCCATCACCAAGATGGCCGCCGGCAGGTATCAGATTACTGCCGCGCGTGCGCGATGAGGTCATCGCGCACGCGCGTGGTGACATCACGAGCATGCGCAGTGAAGTCTTGGTGGGGTGACACTCGGTTAACACTCCGGGTGTCACCCAGCCTCGGGATGCCCCTGATGATTGGCTTGTATTGTCAAGTATTTACTGTAAAAATGTTGACACTGTTGAAAATACAGAGTCTACCCATCAAGGGTTTCTGACTTTCATCATGACACTGCTTGTCTACAACAAG